AAATAGCTAAGGCAAATATACCAGATTGATATCTGTTTAATTTTGATGCTGGATATGCAGGTATTAATCATATTTTCTTTCTTTTTTCAGTGTTTAAAATGTTTCTAGATATAAGAGGATATTCAAAAAGTTTTAAGACTTAAGTAGATTCAGATAAGTTTTTTTAAAGCCAGATAAAAAATGAATGATTTTCTAGGAAATATTATTTCCTGCAACTGATACTAGTAAAGACAGAATAATCTAAATGGAGAAATTGCCATAAATAAATGAGAAGAAATAAAGTTGGGAGATAAAGCTACCCTCCAAAATATATCAGACCCAGTTGTTTTTACAGGGGAATGCTATTAGGCATTAAAGAAGAGAGCGTTCCAGTGGTATTGAGACTTTTCTGAGCACATAAAAAGGTAGAAAACTTTCATAATTTTAAAAACAATGAAGTGAATATGAGATAGGTACCAAAACCCAATGAAGACATGACCAGAAAACAAATGTCAGTCTCAGTTATGAATACTGATGCAGAAATTCTAAATAAAATATGCCAATGGACATTAGAATAATAATACAGCAATATGTGCTGAAAAGACATTTAGAGAAATTGAATATGCATTCTTTTAAAAAACTCCTTGATAAATTTAGGATGCGTGGATTTCACACGATAACATATATATATAGTAATGTAAAGCGATGATGGATCTCATTAAAGCAGGAATAAAATAAGGATATAACTTTTATCAGTTTTATTAATTTTTTTTCTAGAGGTATTAGACCAAGAATATTAGCCAAAAGAGAGAGAAGTGGTATAAAATTACAAAGAGGGACATACAATCAGCACTGTATTGCCCTCTATTCTGTTTGTTGGTTTTTGTTTTTTCGTTTTTTCTTTCAAATTTCCCCTTGTCTTTATTGTCCCTTTTTTCTCTTGACCCAAAGTTTCTTTCCTTTTGGAGGATTAAATTACTATTTTTTAAAAAGAGGATCCAGGCATTAGAACACTTTTATAAAAAAGTGTTCTACACGCACACCATAGTGTGTAATTTCCAACTCTTCCTGGCTGTGATTGTGTCCCGTGAATTTTCTTTTTTAATATTCAGCATTCCCCCATCTCTGTCCCCATGTTTTAAATAAAGGACGTAGATGGGATGAGCGTGCATGCGTGGGATAATGGCACAATTAATTAACATACTAGAGATTCACACTACTGAGCACTTATTTTCAGTACTTTTTATAGTGATAATAGAAGCCAGGAAAAGGATTACAGCTTTGGTTTATTTAATATAACATAATTCAGATAACCATGGTGGAGTTTTTCAGCTTAAATACCTCCACAGATCACTTAGAGGCTTAACACAAATGATTACATTGGAACTAGTTAGGGTTTTTTCACACTTTGACTATTGAAACTTCATTTTAAAAAGTTCTGCTCACAGGCCTCAACCACACAGGCCTCAACCACACTTCCCCCTTCCTCCCCTCCCTCCCCCTCCCACCCTATTTCCCTCCCCTGTTGCTTCTCTCCCTACCCCCCAACTACTCCACACATCTTAGAATGTAAAAAAAAAATTAATAAATAAATAAATTAAAAAAAAATATATATATATATATAAAACATTTGAAATAGACCAAAAAAAAAAAAAGTTCTATTATATGTGTAACTAAAATTAAATCATTGGCACCAGATTCCCGTACTAAAATTAAACATTCATTTTCTGAGTGTGCAAACGAAGATAACTGCAGCTTTCTTATAGGAAACTGGTTACATATAGAAATCATTTTTATTTTTAACTGACTTTTCCGATTATGAATGTAGTTATAGAAAACCCTCAGTGGACACATACATATACACTATTTGATAAGCATAGTGCATATAGATTTTGGGATATCTTTTTTCTTAATGTATTTTAAGTATTTAGTATGTCATTATTTTTAGGATCTTACTTGTGAGTAACTGTATATCTTTTTGTCATATGAAATTAATTTAACCAGAGTCTCTACTTCTTTCCAGACTTCTATTTTCCTAACTCCTTTCCTCCCTCCACTTGTCCTGTTCCTGTTGCTCAGGGGAGAAAAATGAAGTACACTTTTATTACCTGGTTGAATCTGTGAAGGGAAGTGTTTAGATAAAATAAATGAGATTTGGCTGTACGTGATATTTAATAACAGATGCTAGTTCACTTACTGATGTTAAGCCACATTTTTGGTTATATATTTACTATTGGATTCCAAAATGTTCCTACTCAGGGAAATTTGCAGAACTGTATTAGAGTGAATTTTTCTGGGATATAAAGGGAAATTATAGAGTGTATAATTTAAAGCTATGACACGTTCTCCAATATAAAAGCTACTGGCCACATGCGAGTGCTTAAATTTAAATAAATTAAAATTAAATGAAAGTGAAAATTTAGTTTCCCAAGTACACTAGCCACAGTTTAAATGCTCAAAAGCCACATGTGGATAGTGGCTAACCGTACTGGACAAGCAGCTATAAAACATTTCAGCATCACAGAAAGTTCTATTGGACAGCCTTGGTTTGAAGTCTATATGTGTTACCTGTTTATTACATTAGAATTTTAAAATCATTTTATATATGTATATATAAAATGATATATATCATCCCTGGATATTATAAATACTTATAAAAAGCAGAATTTCCGTCAAAATTTTTGGAAACAGTGAACAGCTCAAAATTATTTAGAGCAAATTTTTACTCTCCTACCAACTTAATTTTTTTAAATTATGCAGTGAAGTAAAACATATCAATATAGGGTTGGTAGCATTTTGAAATTCTAGGAGAACATTTTAGAAATTCTTGGTATATTTCAAAGTCCAGGGATGGGCAGGGTAGGGGTGGGCAGTAATATCACTAGGGGGAGGATCTAGAGAAGATGGTGAAAGAAAAACTGACTGTTTTTAAAAAACACTCAGAAGAAGCAAATTAAGTGGAGAAACAACATGTTTATTTGGGGCATGTAATTTTAGATTACAGTTATAGTATTAATACAAGTTAAACTAGGAAAATTGGGGACATCAGAAAGAAAAGATAAGGGGAAGGGGTGGAGAGGAACCACCAGTAATGCTACAGTTGTTGAAAACAGCCATTACTATTTGTCATCTATCTATCCAGACGCCTTTGGGTGCCTACAAACAGGTCACCTGCACTCAGCAGTGAATGAATCCCGTGGAGAATGTAGATGAGAAGTTAGTCTGAGAGGCAGGAAAGTGGTTGTTTAAGAGCTCTGACACTGCAACAGGTGGCAGGAGCTTGGAATCCCAGCTCTGCCTCTTACTCTCTGGGACCTTAGCAGGTTATTTAACTCCTGCGTATCTGTTTACCTGTAGAATGAGCTGATCATCCTCTCTCTCTCTTCATGTTCTTGCAAGGGTGAAGGAATTAAAATACAGTATTAAATTCACTAAAGACTATATTACTTGTATTACTAACAACTATTACATAGGTAACGCAGGCACATGGTAAGTGCTTAATAAATCTAAGCCTCTGTTTACTGTAGCAGAGAGGCAAACATTTAAAGAAGCAATTGCCATAAAGTGAAATGAGTTTTATGATAGTTCAGTATTCTATGATGATATATGTCGAGGTGACCTAATACTTGGAAATTATCTAAAAAAAATTAATTTAGCTCTTAGAATGGTTGGCTTTTGTTTTAAATTATACTTTAATAGTTTCTCAAATCAGATCTTTCTCTTTTTATAGCTTATATATTTACAATTTTACTTATTACACTGATGTGATACATGTTTAAAGATTCCAAGATGTTAAGTAAAAATCTTGCACTGATCACTCTGGTAATATCATAAGTGTCAGAATTCTTTCCCTGATACTTTACATTATGTACCAGGTTGCCAAAAAGGTAATCGAATCCTCTCTTAGCAACAGCATCTGGCTAATCAAAATAAAATCTATCTTCCAGACTTTTACGAGGGACTTTGGTTAGCTTTGAGTATAATTAAAGAGTGTATTACTAGATACCTATTAAAAAACAGGAAATTGTGAGGTGCAACTGTTTTTCTTATATAGTGGGGGACAGTTTTCTTCAGCTATAAATAAGAAGAGACTTAAGCGAGTTTTCAAGTGTAAAATGTTAAGGGCACCTGTATAAGAGTGGAAATAGAATTAAACTTGAGTGCCAATAGTTATGCATTGGTCAAAGCATCTTTCATTTCTTAATTTTATACCAGATTTTTTTAAGGAACTCAGTTTGTCTTCTATTGCATTAAAATAGATTCTTTCTTCTGTGTTTCTCAGTTCATGATGATGGGAAATAAAGGACCCAATTTTTTAATGTATTCATTAATAGAATTGTTTCACAACATGAAAAAATAATCTTATGTAAACTAAATATTTATGAGAAATGTCTCTAGTTATAAGAAATCCCTTTGTTTCTTAGAAATTTGAATTTGAGCTTATGGCCATGCCACCCTGAATGTACCTGATCTCATCTGGTCTGGAAATTTGAATTTGGGGGGAAAAAGTTGGCAATTTTGAAAAATATGAGTAATAAGCAAAAGGAGCAGTGTGCTTGGTAAGGTGTTCCAGGACTTGGCACCCAGGTGCACAGAGTGCCAGCTCCTTTGCTCTTGGCGTCTGTTCCACACCAGTCTGTCAGAATGTGGCTGCCGGTTTGCTTTGCTTTAATCATAATTTATGTTTTTAGCAGAAATATGAAATACAACTGATACTTAAAGTATCGAAGCAATATATTTTAGAAATTACAGATTTTAGAAAACTAACTTGTTTATTAGGGGGATTAAAAGGTTTAGTTTTTATGTGGGTTCTATTCAGTGAAGATTTTTTTTTTCCATTTGGCTCCACTGGACCATAGTAATAGATGAATTATGTGCACATATGTGTCATCTGTCGGTTTACATAAACATGTAACTTTAGAATGTTCAAGGGATCAAATTCTATTTACAATTACAAAATATTTAAATATCTGAGATTGTTTGCTAGCAGGTAAACTTATATTCATTTGATTTCCTTCCAGATTCATGAAAAACTTCACTACTACGAGAAACAGGGCCCTGTACCCATTCTCCATGGCGCAGCAGCCTTGGCCGATGACGTAAGTGTGCCTTTCTGAGCTTGCCGGGACATGTCTGCCACAGACCTGGCAGAGGCAGAATTCATCCTAGTGCAGACAGATGCGTGTGATCCTATGAGTGGAAGCCAGAAGAAGTTGCAAATGTTTCCAAAACTCCTGTCACCACTGAGCTTATGCTGATATTATGTTGATTTTCATTCATTTTCCTGTTCTGAAAATGTTGCCTGTAGCTACCCTCTTGTTCTGCCTTGGTAACTACGTCATAGAAATTTTAGGCTGTAAACTCTATGGAGAGAGAGAAGCTGTCAGCTGTTAGGGTTCTGAGAAAAGTCACAGACAAGTGGAATGCTTTGGAGAAAGAAAGACAAATGAGATAGCTATACTGCTGACAGTACTAAAAAATGACAGATACTAGTATAAGAAAGAGGCATATGAAATACATAAAAAGACAGGATTGTTTTTAAAATGGATTATAGAGCATAGTAATGATTTATGGATATTAGACCTTTCCAAATTGCCTTCATAAGCAAAAAATAAATTTTAGAAGCAGTTGGCATTGATGGAGTAGTTAATTTCCT